CTACCTTCAGCTTTCGGGTCCTACAGTTAGGCTTTGCTTTCCTATCAGCTCACCTCAGGTGGGGATAGTCAGTGGAACAGCAGGTGCACATCCTGGCCAGGCCTCCTGCACTGCCCTGCAGGGCCACCCTGATGGCACCGACCCTAGATGGCCTGTGGTCGTGGCCCTTTCTCCTTTCTCTGTCTCTTGTCCTGTCTGTGTGCTGCATGCTCTTTGAAGATTGCCTCTTTTTAATAAACTTATTTTTTTAATGATAAACACTTTAACAGTTTAATGTTTATGTCTCCTTTTTATTCATTAGGGTGAAAATGGGATGGAGGATTGTGTCATGGCCCTAGAAACCTTGTTTAGTGTTCTGCTTTCTCTTTGCAGACTTATGGTAAGATGATTGCCTTCTTTCTAGTACCCTTTGGCCTATGGGCTGCCTTCGGCACCCACTTGCTGCAGTATCCTCTGTTTATATCTATCCTGTATTATTCTGCCAAAAATAGAAATGTAAGTTTTATAACACCTTATAGCTCTAGTTCCTTTTCAGAAATCTTGTTAGCTTTATACATGTTAAGTAAGACTAAGAAATACTAGATTCTTTCTTACAATCTCTGGCAGTACAATATATGTCAGGGCCCTTGGCTCTAGAACGAGGATCTACAGTTCAAAGTAAGACATAGCTCATCTTAATGTGGATTGCCATAATTGTGAGTAATGGGGAGGTTCTTCAGCTAATACCTGTCTGAGTAAATATATATATGTGTGTGTGTGTGTGTATATATATATATATCACAAACAATACTTTAACTTAGCATTGAGAGGAAGACATGCAAGTAGTTGTTTGATATATGTTCCTATCAGGTCAGCTATTAGTTAAATAATATAAAAGTGAAACGGCTCCAACTTTAGTTCTTTTTATCCTGTTTCTGCTACTCCATGTTATAAGACTCCTATTTATTCCTTAACCGAACGAAAATCTGCTTTGTACAAGGTCCTATGCCTGGTGCTCTCCATGCCTGATCTCATCACCTTCATCCTGTGAAGCAGGGGATATTTTCCCCAGTTTACAGATGAGGTTTCTGAGGTTTGGGACAGTCAGTCCTCTGTGCATATTGACTTGGCTGATACATCATTAGGTGCTCCTCTTTCTGTTTTAGACATCCTTCAGAATTCTAGAGGTGCTTTGAGTTTTTCTAGCTATAGTCCTGCAGCTATGCTTCAGGGATATGAGGCCATTTCTCATTCACAGAGCACGTTTTGTAGCCTCATGCCCCTTTTGGTGCATATTACTGTGTCATTCTCTAACATGTTTAGTTGTTTCTGAGTATAAATGAGATAAGTTGTTGATGACTGACATGATGTCCTGTGTGTTCATACAGGCTCCCTACACACCTTTTCTCACTGAATTGATGTACCAGAATCTAAAGGTGCTGATTGACCCTGTTTCTGTTCAGGACAAGGACACACTCAGCATCCACTACCTCATGCTGCCCCGTGTTCGGTAGGAATCAAATAGAAATAAGCCTCACCTGTGCCAAGGAGGGGAGACTTGCTCAGGCATGTTGGGGAGAGGAGGCATTTCCCTACTTCAGCTCCATCTATGCCTTGCCTCCCACCCCAGCTGACATGAACTCCTCAGGCTGCAGGATGGGGCCCACTTTGGTACATGGTAGCAGGGATGCTTGGTGTGGAACCCCTTTGTAGAGCTGCAGCAGATGGGGTGTGGGCATGACCCATGGGGGCCCCTTGGGGAGGTGCCGGGTACTGAGCGGCAGGTACTGCACCGCCCTTCCCCCGGTGCTTCACCAGGAGGGCCTAGCCACCCTTCTCTAGCCTGACCCTCTTCCTCTTTTATGCATGCCTAGTACCTTCAATTTTCTCCTTTTAAATCTAATCTCTTTCATATTCCTACCTCTACCACTCAGAGAAGAATTGATTGACAGGAAAACAGAGAGTGCAATGTCTCAGATGCAGTCTGTGATTGAACTTGGAAGAGTGATCAGAGACCGAAAAACCATTCCCATAAAGGTTTGAAATTTTACTTCTATTTTACATGGCACAGACCTAAATAATTAAGTCTTTGGAATGCTTTCTTAATATAGAGAGCTTCCACCAATGGCCTTTTTCCTTTTCTGCAGTGAGAGTGTGAATGACTTAGTACTAGCCCAGCCTGACTAGTCTAGAGCTTGAGATTCAAATAAACATTTAATATTCCATTTTTCTTCAGTTTAGAGGACTGGCTGCTGAGTGAACTTTCCCCTCCCTTTTCCTCCTAGTATCCTTTGAAAGAAATCGTGGTTATCCATCAAGATCCAGAAGCTCTTAAAGATATCAAGTCTTTGGAGAAGTATATCATTGAGGTAAGGTAGATGATTTGTCTGTTTTTGGTACAGAAAGACTTAGAACATTATTTTGGTGAAAAATCCTCAAAGTACATAATGACCGCATAATTTATTTTTATTAGTATATTCATAACAAATGTAATAATCCATGATATTTTACACTGTGCTTGGAATCAACATAAATTTGTTATAATTCTTTTAAAAATATTTCAAGATCAATGAATTTCTTTACCTATCATCTATCATCTTCATTCACTTCCCTGAAGTTCTCTTCTGTTCTGTTCTTCTCTGTTCTGTCCTTTCCTTTTCCTTCTCCTCCTTTTCCTTCTCCTTTACTTTACTTTTCTTTCGACAGAGTCTCTCACTCTTGTCACCCAGGCTGGAGTGCAGTGGTGCCTTACCACAACCTCCACCTCCTGGGTTCAAGCAATTCTCCTGTCTCAGCCTCCCAAGTAGCTGGGATTACAGGCACTCACCACCACACCCAGCTAACTTTTGTATTTTTAGTAGAGAATGGGGTTTTATCATGTTGGCCAGGCTAGTCTCAAACTCCTGACCTCAAGTGATCTGCCCGCCTCGGCCTCCCAAAGTGCTGGGATTACAGGCATGAGCCACTGTGCCTGGCCTTCTGAAGTACTTTTTGATAACTACCAAAGAAACTTTGTTCCTCCAAATTATGCAAGTGACAAGTGACCTCTCATGTAAAAGTCAAAGCACTAGCATAGTGAGCCTCTCTCCACCCCATCTCTCCCTGGAGTCTCACTTCCTGGCTGCTTCATACTTTATTTAATTACTCTCCTGTTTGAAGTTTAGGTTTCTGATTACAAACAAAAGCTATGTGTGTATATATATGCATATATCAGTGTATGGATATTGGATAGATTCCAGAAGTGGAGTTTTGGGGTCAAAGTTTAGATTATAGTGTCAGTTGTTTTCCTAAACATTTTTATTCCATGATATTTTAAAACATCTTTATTCCATGATGTTTTAAAAACGAATATGTTTTACCTTATCTTCTTTGTGATGATACAAAACAAGTATTTTTTTAAAATTTCATTGTTTATTCTTTTCACAGGTAATATTTAAAATCATTATTGTAGAAAATGTTAATTTCTATATTTGGTTTTCAGTTGCTTGAAAATTCCAGAGAATATTAGAAACCAAAAGTTAGATTGTAAATTCTGAAATTAGTATCTGTGGATATGCATAAAATACACATTTTTTTTTTTTTTTTGAGACAAGAGCCTCGCTCTGTCACCCAGGCTGGAGCGCAGTGATGTGATCTTGGCTCACTACAGCCTCCATCTCCTGGGCTCGGGTAATCCTCCCACCTCAGCCTCCCAAATGGCTGCGATTAGGCATAATAGTACAGGCTTTTGTAGAAATGGAGTTTCGCCATGTTGCCCGGGCTGGTCTCTAACTCCTGAGCTCAAGTGATCCTCTCACCTCAGCCTCCCGAAGTGCTAGGATTACAGGTTTTCACCACCACATCCAGCTGAAAATTTTAAAAATTAATTACTTCACTTAAAATGAGATTAATTAACGTAGCCAAATATCATGGCAAAACTAACCATTCCGTATTATTTGCTTCAAGCTGCTGTTCTCATTTTCCCATCTGCTGCTGCACCATCACCACCCCTGCCGCCTCAGTAGTTCTCATTTTCCCATCTGCTGCTGCACCATCACCATCCCTGCCGCCTCAGTAATCCTCAGTAGCATGACGGAAGCATGAAATGTTCTGTCTAACTGATCTTCCGCTTAGTTGAGAGTTAACCTTGTGGTTCTCTGAAATTGCTTGCACAGAGGTTACCTCTGAGGGCTGAAGTTTATATTTCTGGTTCTGGAGTCCTTTTTCTGTTAGGCTCAACTGTCTTGATAGATCTTCATAACAAGCATTTTCTTCTTACCATACAAGTCACTGCTTTTTAGACATATTTATAGAACTGTACAACCATACCACAGTTGTAGAACATTTTCATCATCCCAGAAAGAAACCCAGTATTCATTAGCATTCACACACCATTTTCCCCTCAATATCTGACCATTTCCCGGCATCCACGGACCTATTTGCTGTCTCTGGATTTGCCTTCTCTGAACATTTCATATAAGTGGAATCATACAATTTGTAATATTTATGTCTGGCATATTTCACCTAGCATAATGTTTCACATTAATTTGTGTTGTAGTGTGCAACACAATGTATGAGTGCTTTGGTCCTTCATATTGCCAAATATTCTATTGCATGTGTATGCCGCATTTTGTTTATCCATTCACAGTTGATGGACACTTGAGGTGTTCTTACTTTCTGGCTCTTAGGAATAATGCTACTCTGGACATATGTTTTTGTGTAACATATGTTTCCATTTCTCAGTTTTGTTTCCTCTTGTGCACTAACTGTAGGAATTGAATGTTCGAAAAGTTACACTGTCTACAGATAAAAACAAGTATGGCATTCGACTAAGGGCAGAACCAGATCACATGGTCCTGGGGAAGCGTCTGAAGGGAGCCTTTAAGGCAGTGATGACGTCCATCAAGCAGTTGAGCAATGAGGAACTGGAGCAGTTCCAGAAGACTGGTAGGTGTCTACATAGGCAAGGACACCATTCATGTCCTCAGGCTGAGGGATATTTTTTAGGCTACCGTTTGACTTTTAATATCACTCACATCCTTTCCCTTTCTCTTTTGTTTTCTCTTTTCTTTTCTTCTCTTTTCTTCTCTTTCTTCTCTTTTCTCTCTTCTCTCCTGTTGACAGAATCTCACTCTGTCATCTAGCCTGGAGTGCAGTGGCACGATCTCAGCTCACTGCAACCTCTGCCTCCCATGTTCAGGTGATTCTCCTGCCTCAGCCTCCCAAGTAGCTGGGATTACCAAGAGATGAGAGCATAAGAGGAGAAAGTATTTGCCTATGCCTTTCCTGATACTGTTGACAGCTTGTGCACTATCACGCCTGGCTAATTGTTGTATTTTTAGTCAAAACAGGGTTTTGCCATGTTGGCCAGGCTGGTCTCTAACTCCTGACCCCAGGTGATCCACCCACCTTGGCCCCCCAAAGTGCTGGGATTACAGGTGTGCGCCACTGCGCCCGGCCATCCTTTTCTTAAATAAAACTTTCCTGTTGATAAAAATGTTTATTATAAATAATTCTTACTGTTTAGAAAGAAAACAACTGGGCACACTTAGCCAGGTGTGGTGGTATGCGCCTGCCGTCCCAGTTACTCTGGAGGCTGAAGTGGGAGGATCCCTGGAGCCTAGGATGATTTTGTCCTTCCTCTTATGATGCTTGCTGACATTGAAGATTTGGGAAAATAATTATGGTTTTGGTAATTATTATAAAGGGAAAGTGTAGGGTAATATAAAAACAGTGTGTGGGGTACCTAGCCAAATAATGGGATTAGGAAAGGGAAATCAGCCCCATCTTGCCACCCCTATACAGAGCATTTCAGGGTGCCCAGAAATTGGCAGCTCTGCCATGATTAGAGTCATACATGGTCTGAGTATGGCTGTCTGACATCCTGTAACTATCCTGGGGCACAAGCTGTTTATTTTTAGGGCTTTCTCTGAAGTTGAAGATCATAAGCTGGGAGATATCTTGAGAAGAGAGATTTGAGGATTCATAAATCAGATGAGTGGCTAAGGAAATTGGGGGAACTGTCCCTAGGATTCCCCAAATATTTAGATAGGATTAATAAAACATAAGACATTAGCAGCTAAAACTCAAGTTACTACTAGTTACTAATCAACTCAAAATATTAAAATAACAGTGTTACGAGCCTTCAAGTCACAAATCTAAATTGTTTCACCAGATAGCCAAAGCATCAAAAATTCCTGAGATAAACCTTATTTGAAATTGAAAGCCTAGTTTCTGAGTGGACTGTTCTGCACTGATGGAAAACAGGATCATCTTCAGAACACAGTGACAAAGTAAACATAAAAATGACAC